ATTGCACAAATTTAACGTTTATCGAACTTAGCTTCTTCCGATTACTGTACGTCGTAGAAGGTGTTTGTAATGGAAACCTTGTATCTCGCGTTACTTGATCCAACTCGTTCAGCACGATCATGCCGCGTATCACAGTCGTCGGCGTCGCACGTGTAACCGGACGGTTATTTCCTCTCCTCAAAAATCAAGCAATTGTCCGTTCTGATCCACAATACGTATTGTCAGATCCGTAATGCTCTGCACGATGATTGGAAGGTAAATGCTCTGTGCCGGTGTTTNNAAAATCTTATATCCTGGCGGCACGTGCGGTGAAAACTCATGTATCGTATGCACGCACCGGTTGTTGATGTATGCACCCGCGTTCACGTTGCACTCTATGCGAATAACGTTAACGTTGATAATATTAATCGGCACGTCTGACACATACCACTGGCGTGGATTTAAAATACGGGTTGATGAAAATTTCAACAGCGACCCAATGGTGTCAGGTTTAGTAAAATTTATGTGATACGCGCAGTTTCTTTCGCTTTTCATTGTGTTGGTGTTTGCACGTAATATTAATGGTGANATTTCCTCATNCTTATCTTCGCTTCTCGCATTACGTTGCACCAGTGCATGTTGCAAATAATTGGTAATATTCTCCAATTCGTACGATCCTTCAGGAAGTATAATCTGCTTGTCATCCGTATTGTAATAAAATTTGTTGTTCGACGAATTTACGTTCGGTATCATATGATATGTTTCAAAATCTGTTAGTCCAAGCTCGTAATCACCGTCACTTAAATCAATGGCAGGATAGTAGCTGACCGCAAGGATGCTATTTTTACCGGTAAGTGTGAACGTCAGTGACATGTTGTCGAATGCGTATTGAAGTTTGATAGCANACTATTTAAAGAAATATAGTTTATCAACCGTTTGAAGGAACCATAAACACAATTGGTCACAATTGCTTTGATTGTAACGTTGATACGACGTAGAATTATATTCTATTTTGTTTACGGCATGTTCTAGATAACGAGCCACTTCTTTCGGTGGNTGAAGATTGCCAAAACTGNCAAAATATATGACATGCTTTCCTCTTTTTGCATACGCCACTCAGTGAGTAGTCCCTAGTCCATTTGTATTATCTAACTTGACGATACCACTCTCATTGCAATGTACTATGTTCGGTAATGTATTACGCATGAAAACACCTCTAAAACAAAGGTATACGCATGCGCTTAGCTAGTTGTTCTAACTGCATATTAGTTGTTACACTTGTAAGTACATTTAATGTTTTTTTTTTTAAAAGTCCTCGTCCGTACGGAGTCAGATAAATTCCTNGACCTTCCATCCCGCAATTATGACGTTGCATTTCTTCTAGTTGCCGCTGTGCAACTCTTGTTTCATTTACTGTTTTTGCAACTCCNGCCGCTCCACCAACGAGCNCACCGANAGCACCCAGCAGCGGTAAGACTGGTAATACACNGCCGCGTTTAGCAATTGGAAGTATTTGCTTCCTTTTTGCTGACTTGCTTTTCTTTTTCAAACCCATGCCGAGTTTTGTCTTTGCTTTCATAGCCGCCCACACGGCGGTCGCAGCTGCTCTCTCACCGAGACTCGAGTCTGCCGCTGTAATACGATCGCGCGCCTTTGCAGCAAGTGCGTTTGCAGCCATGTGTCGAGCAGCAAGTTCGTCGCGAATAAGCTATATCGTGTTCACGACAAGCCGCGTCTAATGGATTAATTCACCGATTGCCTCTAGCTAATTGTTTTTCCAAACGCGTTCCCGGGCCACAAAATTGGTAGCCTAGAATATGTAATTTGACGGAAAGAGCGTTTATCGGGCGATTTAACAATTTACGACCTGATATAGATTGCAATATACGTTTGACATCAGCTGTCTACTGACGANTGAGTAGACACGCTCGGCGCGTTTCTATAAATAGGTGCTCCTCGCGCGAGGCAGTTAAAACAAACCATGCAGTTCGTGCGACAACCTGTAGGAATTAAAGTAATTAATTTTGACAACAAGACTCAACAAATGTCCGACAAGAAANTACGCAAACATGGAATAATGCTACCGGTTACTATACGTGGTATTGTGTGCGGTCCTTCGAACTGCGGCAAGACGAATAGAGTGTTAAGCTTGCTTGAAAGTCCACACGGTGTACGTTTTGAAAACGTGTACGTGTATTCCAAGTCGTTGCGACAACCAAAATATCAATATCTGGAGAATGTACTTTCATCGGTAGACGAAATCNGTTATTTTACCTTTTTTAATAATAGCGATGTGATTCCACCGAGTGAAGCACTTCNGAATTCTATTTTTATCTTTGATGACGTGGCATGTGACAAGCAAGATACGATACAAGAATATTTTGCAATGGGTTGTCACTCGAGTGTCGACTGTTTTTATCTTTGTCAGACGTACGCAAGGATACCAAAACATCTTCTACGTGACGACGCAAATCTGATAATTATGTTTAAACAAGATGGTACCAATCTCAAACATGTGTACAACAATCATGTAAACACGGATATGTTGTACGAGAAGTTTTGTACATTATGTCGCAAATGTTGGCAAAACAAATATGTATTTTTAGTGATCGACAAAGATAGTCCTTTGGACAGAGGTCGCTATAGAAAAGGATTTAACGAGTTTGCGATTCCGTCGAGTGGGTAATCGTTGTTGAGNCATCAACCAAGTATTGTCTCTTTCCTGCCGGTGTAAGCAACATGGCTAACAAAAGCAGTGAAATTATAGATTGCGAGAAAGTATCGAAGGAGATTGCAAAAACGAGTCACTCCATTTGTCAAAAATATCGCGCTCTGAAAACCGGTAAATTAGAAGAAGAAATTGCATTGGAAAGACAGTTCAAACCTATTATCAAACTTCTCAAACAGATTGCTGAAAATACGGAAACTAAGCAAAAGACGTTGGACACAGTGTTTCTCGAAGACACATCACGAGACGAAGCGAAATCGACCACAGACATTGAAAGAAACACTGTCCCTTACTTTACACAATTTAAAGCACATGATATAACACTACAATGGCGACTTCTACTCCGACAAAAGAACGACAATTGACATGGGATTCTCCGATTGACACTATCGGCGCTACTGATGCTACTACCAACAAATCGTTTGAGTCAACTATTCAACGTCAAATGCAAATGTTGNAGGGTCTTGAANTGTTTCAAAATCATTTTAGTCCGTTGGCGCAACAATATATGAAAGCTATCCTGAGTGGTAAGAAAGAGAACTACATAGACTACGTATATGGTGTGTATTTTGACACCGATGGAATGATGCTCGGTGATAAGCGTTTTGACGTGGATACACAGGATAATATAATCATAGATGGTATACGATTGAAAGCAACACAAGGATTGTACGAATTGATTTTCATGAAATGTCCAAAGAACGAGTTATATACCGAAGAAGATAAACAACGATACAAAAAGATACTGGAAATAACACATGCTCATAGAAAACATCACAACAGGCTCGGTGCAATACTGGGTAACAAAAGATANAAATACAGATACATAATTGCACCTTTAATATCCAGTGTGCGTATTAAGCAGGAGAAAGGTATACNGCATAAAATGACGTTAAGCGATCGTAAGATCAAGTACGCTCACTGGGACGATCCCAACAAACTTGTCGACCGTCTGCGATTGCTAGACGCATCCCGTCAAGCGGGCAACAATGCTCATGACAACGAAATTCTGTCGATCATCGAGAAAGTGCACGAAGCGGGATTCATTATAAATTAACTAGCGCGTCGGTGGTAGAGTCAGTCAGTCGTGTGCGCATCATCATGCCAATCAACAAATTTGGGATATCGCTCAGAACACATGAAACGTCGATGTATTATTATTATGAGAGAGAGAAACAATACTGCAAAATTACGTGCGTAATACCGCTCTCTGCTTTGTCGGTGCCGGCTACAATGCAAGATCGCGAAAAATACTGCATGTAGCGCAACCCGATACCGACACTGACGCCGCCGACNAACGATACGTAGATATGTGCGTCACGAGTGTGAATAAATGGCAAGAGACANGTGAGAAAAAAATTATCGCATTGCAGCAGGATGTGCAAGCGTTGCGCGACGCTCTAAAACAAATTCAGCGTACACTTCAATATCTATCAAACCAAAATAAAACGACTGACACAGTAGACATATAATAAGACAACTATGGCAACAAATCGTACTACAGTCGAAAAACAACGTCTCGTAGAAGAATTGCATGCTCCGGCAAGAAGAACTTTTCCCCGTAGACGCGTTATCGTACGCGGGTACGATGATCTCTGGCAAGCGGATGTGGTAGAGATGCGTCCGTATTCGCGTTTCAACAGANGCTCCCACTACATACTTACGGTTATCGATGTGCTGAACAAGTACTCGTGGGCCATACCGCTTAAGAGTGAGACTGGATATAAAGTCTCCAAAAGTTTTGCAGGGATATTTCGGAATAACAAACGATGTCCAAACAATTTGCAAACTCACCGTGAAAAGGAATTCTACAATATAGATGACAAACACTGATGAAGAAGCATAACATTAATCAGTATTCCACATATTCTGTTATGAAGGCTTTAACTGGAGAACGATTTAACCGTACGTTGAAGAACGACATATGAAAACGATTTACACTTAACGGAACTTACAAATGGATCGACATATTACCGCGTCTTCTTATGGAGTACAACGCGAGAATACATCAAACTATCGGTATGCGACCTATCGATGTTACCCCAGCAATCGCCGAGAAGCTCTTAACCACGGTGTACAGCAATGTCAAGATNGCAGGGCCAGCNCGATTCAAAGTTGATGATCCGGTACGTGTGAGCAAATTTAAAACAGTATTCGATAAAGGATATACGCGAAATTGGACGACCAAAATATTTAAAATCAATAAGATACAAACGACCTATCTTGTGACGTATCTGCTTGAGAATTCACGCGGACAATCTGTTGCTAGAAGATTCTATGAATACGAACTGTATCGCGTTGCACATCTAGATGATTTATCTCGTTGAAAAAGCATTGCGCAAGAAAGGTGACAAGGTTTATGTGAAGTTGCTAAGGTTAGACATGTCATACAACTCTTGGATAGATAAAACTAATATATTGTAAACACACTACATACAGAATTTCTATTTATAGAAACTACAATATAACTTACAACATATATACTGTNACGTGACGCCTTTTCGGCGCCCGTCACAGTGTAGTTAGCACGGCCAGAGAGGAGGGCGGTAGGCTCGCGTCTCTCACAATTTAGAGAGAGCGACATATCTTTGTTGCGTGGTGCACTTAGATGCACTGATTTCGCGCTGTCAGTGCGCTCAGCACCAACTTTGAGTACCGTGCGCCGACGGGCGCAAGCGAATATTTCGCGCATATTATTGTGTAACGGCCGTTTTCTATTAATGTTAATTGCGTTGCGTGAGCCGCAAGGCGGCGTATCGTTTCGTATGTCTGTGGTATTTTGTTTTAGCGGCAAAAGAGAGACACCTTAGACATTGGNGTTAACCAAGAACGAAGATGGGAAGACAGCGAAACAGGAGCGTACGACGGGGAGAGCAGAGTGGCGGGAAACGACCGGTTGTCTCAGAAAGGGGCGGTCGGAGAAGGCACCACCCGGACACTAAAGACGTTGTCGGGATCCGACGAGCGCGTACGATCTGCCGACCCGAGGTGGAGGATCGGCCTTGCAAAGCTGCAGAATCTTCTATATGAATCGGGCGGTGAGGGCCTGACGCGGCTGTATAGTCGCCCTTGGAAGGACAACGCGGATCCACGCGTGTGGCGATCGATCTGCGAAAGGAAATCTATGCGGTAGCGTTTAGCGATCACTATTGCGCGTATCGTTGCTGAGGCGTGAGCCACCGGAAAGACCTCTTGAAAAGTCTTTCTGCCGCGGTAAAATGCCGTTTGTAGGCAAGTGTCGGTCACCAGTTACTCGAGGAGGACCCGAGAGGAGGACTCGAGACCGTGATATCTGATGAAGGAGACGATATAGTTGCCGAGTAAGATCCAAGGCTAGCTGTCGACGCCGATAAATGCCGCTAAGTTCTTCACCCCTACAACTGCGTGTCGCGTGTTGCTTTTGATGTACCNATCTACCGCTCCGGTGACTCGAATTCCGTTTGTTTAGTGTCGCGGATTCGACACGGAGGTAATCTTGACGACCGTTACCGTGACATGTCAGGTCTCCGATGAGAACTGTGTATTTTGTCGTGTTGATAACATAGAGTAAAGATCGCTCTCTCTCTTTTCTACGGTCGCCACAGTCTTTCGTGTAATTGTTCTTGTCGTTGTTCCGTTGTTGTCGTAAAATGTAATATTTGATTAATCGTGCCGTGTTCGTTCAACTTTGTTGTAATTGAGTGCGTGCGTTCATTACCGTGGACAGCCTTGAGTCGAGCCGCCGTTTTTTTGGCGCATTTCGTGCCTATTGTCATTACATCTGCAAGCGCGTCAGCGGCTGTGTAAGCTTTCGTTACCGTTGGGTGCCGCGGCTTGCCGCCTAGAAACAATACTTTTTGCTAAGACCCTCTTCTATCGTTACGGTCATCGAAGGCCGTCGTTCACCACGATACGGGAGGCGTAGTCGACCAACGTCGCATCTTGCACGCGGACGATTTGTCGCTAGTTTGATATCTTATTCGAATCGCCGTTAATCAGCGTCGTGTGCCGCCGCGTATTGTCGATCGGCTCTGGCTACTCAGACTCGTTATTAGCGCTCGTGTAAACCGGCGAAGCACCGCTATACGTGGGGTGGTACTCTATTGACCACAGTACGATTCGACACCGCTCGATTCGACACAGATTTATTCGACACCAAATTATTCGACACCGTACGATTCGACACCAGATTAT